GACCGATGAGGTTGGATTCGTGAGACTGGAGGCAGTGAGGGCATTACGAGGTTTCGTACCACATGGTAAGTAAGTTGAAGGTAAAGAGCAATCTATTGACGGTGTCTGCAGCCGAATTTCACGCAGAAATCAAGGTCACAATACCAAATGCTATCCAACTGTTGGCCGATGAGATGGATCCTGTTCAGAGAGAGGTGATAAAGCTTGTAACAAGCTTTGTAGCGCATGGTGAGTTTTACGGCGGTGGCAAATGGGCGGAGCTGAAGGCATGTCAAGCAAATTTTCAGCATGCGGTTGAGATTGAATTTTCAAACATCATCAAGCTGCTCACAAATCGGGTTCCGACTACTCGAAATGCTGCCTTGGAACTGATTAGAAATCTGGCGAATCATAGTAGGCTTTCAACATATACATAAAGTCAAATTATCGAGCTGATGCATAAAAGTCGAGTCAATATCAGGATTCGACACTATAGCCCCGGTTTTTCTGCATTGGCTCCATGAACACGACTCTGAGCTTCAAGCATTTGCGGTTACTGCCATCTGTACCCTCATTACAATTGGTACGACTGAAATATCTCCGATTCACCTGATTGATTGTCTTGAAGCCGACTTCCGCTCAAAAATGGCCGGAGCAACTCAACTCATCCTCAGTTGGCTCACTTTCCGGAATATGAAGCTTCGCATCACTGCCCTGGACACCATCCGTTCCTTGGTACTCTACGGTATGTGATCAGGATTCCTACCGTCACAGATATTTTACAATATTACTAGACCAATACCATCCTGAAATACAAAGTTCCTCAATGCAGATCGTCGGATTACTCGGAGATCAATATTCAGCTGTTCGCATGGCGTGTGTGGAACTACTTTGCTCTCCCAAAACATATGGTGGGTCTCGTATCATAATCCCTGATTCGTCTGACACTGGTCAAAGAGGTACTTGCTACCAAAGTCAAGGATCTCGTCCCACGAGTTACGGAACTACTTGCTGATGTGAATGAAACTGTACGATCAGCAACCGCCAACTCTCTTGTACCCCTAGCTCCAGATGGTCAGTATCAATACTTTCTCTGTGCGCAACGACTTATCTGGGTTCTCAGTCGTCTGGCGTGCTGAGATTGAGCAGTCTTTTTCTCATTATCAATTCCTTCTAAAAGAACCCGAAGCTGCCTCTTTATATGGCGCTCTGTATCCTCAGACAACTTCCGATGATTGAGGATGATGTAGCATAACTAATTGTAACATTTTTGTCCAGGATCGTGGCCAACTTTGTATGGTGGTGCCAATCGGCAAGACCTGACCTACTCGGTAGACTTCCAGAATGGCGCGTGTAATTACTCTGCGTGTAAAATATTGGCTATAACTACTGTACCTTTCATTCCAATTTCGAATCAATTTCTTCATCCTCAGATTGTGAAGCGAGCTGATGGAGTTTACACGCATATATCAGCAAAATTGTCGAGCAAGGCCACACTCATTCGACCCTCCGTGTAAGCAACATTCCCTGAGAATGTCAAACCTGCATATGAATCCATCACTGTTCGAGGGTGCGGTACAAAGTTTGAGGTGGACGCCAATTCGGGATCGGTGAACTGGAAATGAATCTCTGCGGGCGCTTACTCCCGGCCACGAGGCTTAGGCTCAGTTTCGGAATCTGCAAAGACGAGTGCGGTTGTGTGCATAGTGTTGTCTACTCGACTTGGGGATCACCATGTCGTCGTTCAACTTTGCTCACGATCTGGAAGACGCTGAAAGAGGTACGTGCCTCTGATCTGCCCTGTAGTGTTCATTGACAGTTTTAAAACCATGTACAATAGGAGAAAATCGGGACCGGAGAAACGAGAAGAGCGATAAAAGATCTCCCGCGAAAGAGAAACTCAATCTAGTATCTCCATACGCCAAATATGCAGCACCAGACGCTCGGATTTGGGGTCTGTATCTGGAGGAAGCGGAAGCGGAAGACAGGGAATTGATGGAACCGTGGAACAAGGATTTGGACTCGCTTCTGATTTTCGTAAGTGTAACGACCTTTAGGAACTGTGTTAGATTCTTATTCTCACTAGGCCGGTTTGTTTGCTGGCATCTTGACCGCATTCATAATCGAAAGTCGCAAGGAGCTGTACGAAGACCCACAAACGCGCTTATTGAAAGACATTCTTGGGGCAATACAGAATGTCCCCAGTACTTCGACTCGTGAAGCATTCGAGCCAGAAACATCTTTTTTAAACATTAATGGTCTCTGGTTCAACAGTCTAACTCTCACTCTCAGTAGTGCGCTCGGCGGCGTTCTCTCTAAAGGTTGGATAGCAAAACACGGTAGCTCATCGACACGCAAGACCTCGAACGACGCATACGCTCGACATCTCCGTGCGAGTCGGATCCGGAAATGGAGAGTTGGGGCGATCATATCCGTCATCTCTCTCCTCATCCAAATCGCCCTCTTCCTGTTCTTCGTTGGCCTAGTTCTAATTCTATGGGATGCGGCAGACAGGATCAAGTTCACTGTTCTTGCACTTGTCTCAATCACGTCTCTCACCTACTTGGTGATCACATTCCTTCCATGGATCTTTCCGGCATGTCCTCTCCAAACTCCAATCACGGAAGGCACGCCTTGGATCAAAAGGCCGATGGTCTATGGTCAACGCTTTGGGTCGTCAGGTCATCGTGGGGGGAATGGTGGCAGCCTTTTGAAGGAGCTTATTTCCCTATATGAAGAGCTTCGTTCGATCCCGGAGCCACAGGAGCTTCAGGCTCAGACTCTCGCATGGATCATATCGAATACGTTGGACGAGAAGGTGTT